TCGGACTTTGGGGAGTTGACCCTAAAATTTCGTGAATTGTCCGATAAACTGCAGCCAGGGGAGCACGGTGAGGGCCGTGTCCCAGGCAGGTGCACAGCGAGCCGGGTTTAGTAAACCCTAAGCCAAACGAGGGAAAAGACCAAGCCCGAAACAAGAGAGCAGCTCGGGGCCCGGGCCGAGGCGGTCTCGACTCCCGCTGCCGCCCTCCCGGCCAGGCCCGCGTTGCGCCGCGCAGCTCTGCGCGCCCCGAGGGGCGCAGCGCGGAGCCCCGAGCGCGCCCGGCCGCAGAAAAGCTGGAGGTGCCCAGGGGACAAATCCTCCCTGCAGCGGGTCCCTAGGAAGGGCGATTGGTCTGCGTGCGGTGGATGCACCGGGGATTTACTGAGGGGAAGGAATACAGCGAGAATGAATCCAGTGTTCGGGGGCTTTTCTACAATTCCGAGGGATTGAAAAAAAAAATTACAAATATCCCAGACCAACCCGAAAAGTTCTGCGAGGGGAGGAGCTGTTAGAGCCTGGCCGCCTCTGGCCACCCCCGCCGGACTCACCCGCGGTCCCTTCCCGCGCAGCGAGGCTGCGCTCCCGCCCTTGGCCCTCCTAGCCACCGTCCCGCTCGGATCCGCATCCAGAGATTTCTAGTTTGTTTGTTTTGGGGGTATAAACGCTGTCCCGATCAGAACCTAGATCGCTGCTGCAGCTGAACTCTGGTTATTTTTATTATTCCGGGGCTAAAATCCGCCGCCTTCGTCCGATTCGCAATGGTGGTCTGGCGAAACTTGTCAACACTGATTTCGTGATAAAATGTGAATGATGATTTTATAAGGATTGAGCGGAGATATCCAAGGCACATGCTGACTGAGTCTTTCCAGTCCTCATTAATGTTAGCAATTAACTCTTTCACGCTCAATTAGTCCCGAATAAACCCGCTTTAATAGATTCTGCACACTTCATTAATACTTTGAATAAATCCGTGCTGAACAATGCACTTTATTCCTCAAGAGCACCACGCTCGAATAATGTGGAGTGAAAGGGCAATCGTATTCCCTTTCCAGTTAGTTTCCCAAACACGGATAAATTGTAAGCTCTGTTTCCTCGCTTAAACTAAACTAAAAGGAAGAGAAAAATGTCGTCCGCAAAGGAGACGAAATGAGTAGCCGACCTGATAGCAAAATTTTGAAGACTGATGATGCACTATAAAGGAGACGGCTATCAGACTTTAAGGGATGCAGGAAAAAAAAAAAAAAAAAAAGGATTTTTTTTTTGACAGATGAACCTGATTGCTGCAGTTTGAGGCTATCCCAAGAATGCAGCGTTTTATGCCCGCTACTTTATCATGTTTGTAAAAATAAGCAACGTTCTCAGGGTAATTTACCTCCTCCATTCTCCCATGTGGAACTAATTAGCAAACCTCATTATTTATGAGTCGGGTATTTAATGTAACAAATATCCCTTTCAAAGGATACATCGGAAATTGATAATTCAAGGTAGAAAAAAATATCTACTGCTCACAGGATTACTTTAAAATCCATTTAATTTCACTTTGTGCTATGCTACCGGGAGCAAATTGGCTGGATTTTCCTTTTATTTTCTGGTGTACAATGGAGATAGAACTTAATCTGGAAGGTTAATATTACAATGGTCTTAAAGCAATGACAACTGGACAATAGCATTACCGTATCTTCAAACAGGACAAAGGGTAAGAAAGCTGGAGACAGATGTAGTCTTTCAAGTTTATGATCCTATTTTGCAGGGTAAATTTATCTTGGCATGAGTGGGTTTTGCTTCAGTTAGAACACAAGTAGTTTGTTCTTAATTACTCAGGGAGAGAGTTTGTGTTTAAAAAAGATAGAAAGGAAAAAGAAAGAAACAAAAAAAATCGCACAGTTTTGTTGTGGCGGGGAATTCAACCGGAGAACTCACGGGGTCTTCTTAAAATAAATAAATAAATAAAATGAAATAATAATATATATAGAGAGAGATATATATATAAAGAAACCCTGATAACGATCTGTTTACATGAAGCAGAATTAAAGGTAGAGGTGACACCGGAATCAAAGAAACAGCGATCTCTCTGCGGGCAAGCGGGAGAGCGGAGAGTTACTGCACTGTGAAATACACATTCGCTTTGAAGTCCCGAAGAGAGGGGACTTCTCTGTGAAATACTCTGCTCTTCATCTATATTTCTGGCTATCCCGGTCGTACAGAGCAAAAGTATAGCTTACATTTCTGGAAAAGTGCCAAGAAACTTGTAGTAACGTGAACACTCTGCTTCCACTTCCCCTTTTTCTCTTTTCATTTTTCTTTTCTTTCACTCCTTCTCTCCTTTTTTTTTTTTTAATTCCTCCCCCCCTTTTCTTTATGTTTTCTTAATTTTTTATTTTTGAAAAACTGAACTACTGTAGCAAAAAAAAAAAAAAAAAAAAGAGAGAGAGAAAGAAACTTCGCGGACAATGAATGTTGTTATGAGCTGGTTGCATTTCTCCTTCGTTTCTGTCTTCTTCATTTGAAAAATTGAAACAGATTTTTTTTAATGTTATCAACTAGACTTTTGCCCAGATTTTCAAGGTAGATTCATGGTTTTACGTTCCAAATATAATGTTTTCTAAGGAGTTGAAGACGGAGGGAGGGGTAACCTCAGAACTGAACTCAATTTGCAGTCGCATGTTTCATGCTTCAAAGATCTAGGACTACCTAATAGACATATAGTCGTTGTGACATACAGAAACAGACATTTCAGGTATCTGGACAAGAGTATTTTCCGCGTTGTTTATTCTCGGGGTCATTGATCGAGGTGTTTGTGCTGTGAAATGGTCACGCCTAGTGTATGGGCAGCACTAAGAAATAAAAAGCATTTCCCCAGTCGAAGAACAAAACAATCTGGTTGGTTGGTCGTCCCATAAAAAGTTTTTTTTAAAAAAAAAAAATTATTAAAAAAAAAAGAAAGAAAAGAAAAGCAGAGAGAGGGAGGAGAATATGTGTGCATTTTTCAATCAGCTACTATTCAAAATGTAGCCAATTAAAAAAGGCAAAATGTCACACTCTTTTATTCTGGGTCATTGCGATAGAATTCGTCTAAGTTTTGGGTCTCTCTTCCGGCTGCTGATTTATGTAAATGGTGTGAAAGGTAGACTGGTGTATAGAGCTCTTTGGAGTGAGTTTCTCCCCCTCGCACCGGCTGCAGATCCTTGGTCCAGGAGGCAGCACATATATAAATCAGATTTTTTTTTCCCTGGTCATTAGGGCTCTTCAGCCACCAGCCTTTCCCCCTTGCCTAGAGGGAGAATTGCTGATCTGTGGCTCTTTGCTACCTCCTTTTCTCCAAAAGGGCTTTATTCTTAATGCAGGAATAAACCCTGCTTGCCTGTCCGAGTGCTGCAGGACCCTGCAGAGATCTTGCTGGGATCCTATGAAGGCCTTGTGGGCGATCCTATGGGGATCTTACGAATATCCTGAGAGTGTCCTGTGGGAATCCTGCGGGAACCTTGCAAGGATCTTACATAGCCCTGTGGGCTATATATCTTACATGGGCTATGTAAGACATATAGGGGCTATGTAAGATATATGATCCCTACAAGGATCATATATGGCCCCTATGGGGACCCTACAAGGATCATACATGGCCCTTATGGAGCCCCTGAAATGATCCTGAAGGAACTCCGTGTAGTTCTTGCTGGTCCCTACAGGGTCTCTACATGATTCTTGGGGTGAAGGAGGTCAAAGGAGGGCAAATCTTGTAGCTGCCAGGGAAAGCAAGTAGCAGGCCACAGAGTTAAAAAGGAGGCTCCCTGGAGGGCAGGGGTGCTGTGCCTTCAAAATCCATGGGTCCTTTCCCCCATGCACCAAGAAGGGAATCTGCCTCCACACTATTGGCCCCTGGGAAGCATCTCCTGCCAAGTGATTGACAGCAACCAGGGCTGTGCTGAGAGCTAAATTTGCAGGCAGGGCCAGATGTGCCTCCATGCTGCTCTCTGGCAACATTTTCCCTCCACCTCACAGGGAAAATGGGTAGGGATGTGGCCCCAAGGGGAGGATGGGGACTTGGCAGGACCCTAAAGCACAGCAAAGCTGTGGTGCTTGGCCGAGGGAAGAGCTGTGGGCCTGTCACCCCTCCCTGCCCTATGAGGCCCTGCAGGATCTGGCTCCTCTGGCTGGTGGGCTGGGTACCCCTGTGGGAAGGGTCTCCCCAGGCTTTGCCTTTCTCTCTTTTGAAGGGCTCTAATTAAGCAATTGCCTAGACTGGGACATGGGCTTGAAGCCAGACGCTTCCCCCTGGGGTGAGCAAATGGCACATCAGATTTGTCACCCAGGCTCAGCATTTTCTCTTTATTTTTGCAGTAAATGGAAGGATGAATGTTGTTTCTGCTGTTTCACCCCCCTTCTCCCCTTTTTATTTTTATTTATTTATTTATTTATTTATTTATTTATTTATTTTGAGGAGAGAGTACTGGACAGCTCTGACCACCCAATTCCCCCCACCATCCAGGAGGCACAAGCATGGCTAAGGCCAGGCCTGCAGGGAGATGTGGCATGACCCAGCGGCAGCAAGGCCTCCACCCTCCCTCCCTGCAAAACCTGGAGTGTCAGAGCTGAAGGCCGTTTTAGTGGAGCCTTTCAATTTTGGAAAGGCTCTATGCCCATGCAGAAATGGATGTTAAAACCAAAATGCCTGGGAGAGCTTTGAGTTTTGGAACCCAAAACAACATCTCCCCTCTGTTTCCCCACAGAAGGCCATTAGAGGCTAACTCGTTGTTGCAAGAGTGAGTAGTTGTGGACAGCACATATTTGTTGTGAGGGGAAAATGAGAAAAGGAGGATCTGGTGGCTGGCAGGGTGCCCCTCCAAGTGAAAGGCAATCTCCTGCTGTGGATTTGGGGGGAGGGACTAGTGAGGGATGAGATGAGAAATCTCTTTTGCTTGTATCTTTCTATAAATCCACCTCTCCGTCTTTTGCCCTCCTCCATTTTTATTTTCCAGATCTTTTCCTCTTCTGTTCCTGAGATCTTCCTTCTGAACGACTGCCATGGGAAGTAAGACCCTGCCGGCCCCTGTGCCTATCCACCCTTCCCTCCAACTCACCAATTACTCTTTCCTGCAAGCGTTCAATGGGCTACCCACCGTGCCCTCGGACCACCTCTCCAACCTCTACGGCTTCAGTGCCCTGCACGCCGTACATCTGCACCAATGGACTTTGGGGTACCCAGCTATGCATCTGCCTCGTTCCTCATTCTCCAAAGTGCCCAGTGTGTCAAGCCTGGTGGATGCACGGTTCCAACTGCCCACCTTCCCACTCTTCCCACATGTCATCCAGCCCAAGCAAGAAGCTACCAATGTGACCCTCAAAGCCAAACCGCGTTTCGACTTTGCCAACTTAGCAGTGGCTGCCACACAAGAGGACCACTCTAAACTGGGACAAGCAGACAGCCAGGGTTCCCCGCCAGGGCTTGGCTCTTTGCTTGAGGTAACTAAACTCTCTCCAGAGAAGAAACCCACACGGGGAAGGTTACCATCCAAAACCAAGAAGGAATTCGTGTGTAAATTCTGTGGTAGGCACTTCACTAAGTCCTACAACCTTTTGATCCATGAAAGAACCCACACTGATGAACGGCCTTACACGTGTGACATTTGCCACAAGGCATTCAGAAGACAGGATCATCTAAGGGATCACAGGTAACCATTTTTTTTTACTCCCTGTCTCTTCTTCTGCATGCATCTGTACTCTCCCAGTTGCCCAGTCATGAAGGTGATTGTAAGCAAGGTCATGTACTTGGCCAGCAGGAGATGTTCCCTTCAGGCTTTCCTTTGTTCAGATAATTCACTTTGGAAGATAAAGTTGTATTCACCCACCCTGAAAACATGTATTGCACAGGCTGCTAGTTTATGTGGACATTTTCACCCTCAGTTTGCATCATCCTGCTTGTGCTGCCCTTGTGATCATTCAGAACTGTCATGAAGACATGTGGCCTAGTGACCATGAAGCTCTTTATCTCTAAGAATGGCACTCTTGCAAGCCTCCTACACCCCCTTTTCTTCTCTCACACACACACAGGCACACAGATGGTTACTGGAGTGTCAAACTCCAGTATTCTTCTTGGTTTCAGGAACTGATGTAAAAGCCTTAAGGTGGTCTGACTAAGTCCCTGGGCAGGTAGATCACTGCTGAATTCAAAACGAATATTATGACATCTTAATGTTATTTTTCTCTCTAGATATATACATTCTAAAGAAAAGCCTTTTAAGTGTCAAGAATGTGGAAAAGGATTTTGCCAGTCCAGAACACTAGCCGTCCACAAGACACTGCACACGCAAGTAAAGGAACTGAAACCTACCAAACTTAAGTGCTGAATCTCCATCTTCTATGAACTTTTCCTCCCCTTCAGACTTTATACCAAAACTAGAACAGAAACAAAACTGCCAGGATGGGAGCACTGAACTTTGTGTTTTGGTTTTGTTCGTACTTACAAACGAGCAAAATCCCACCAAGCAACAAACTTCTTAAGTTGTGGGTGAAAAAAAATATTTTGTGTTTAAAATATACATGAATGACACGGAGAGTGCTGACTGACTTGTGTGACTTTGATGAACTTTATGCCAAAAGGTGGTGCTCACGTGTTGGACAGGAATCTCATTAAAATCAAACAACCCCCTCCCCCTCAAAGTACCCTCTTCTGACCCCCCATTTCACCCTCCCCAAAAAGCCCCCAATGGTAGCTTTCAAAAGTATTACTTAAAAAAAAAATCTTGTTTTATACTTATTTTTGACTGTATAAAGCTTCTTACTTTTACACTTCAGGAAATACAGAGAGTTCCAGAAGACGATTAAGAACTGAAATCGTGGTTTCTCATCCTGGCACCATTAGGGCAAGGAGAAGGGCAACGTGTAAATCTTTTTCGCTAGTTTGTTTTCTTAAAAGAAGGAGAAAAATAACTTTTGGAAATGACCTAAATCTCTCAAATGAGGAGTCCTACTGTGTGCTAGAAAACACATTGAGATCCACAGGTCCTCGGTATTTGGGACAAATAAGTGTTCATGTGACACAGAGAACTTGTTTTTGCCTAGTGGCCTAGTGTGCTGGAAGATTTGTAACTTGTCAACTTATTAAAAAAAAAAAAGAAAAAAAAAAAAAAAAGAAAGAGATGGCAACACATCAGGCTGACGGTATGCACAACGTGGTTTTAGTGGTACTTTAAAATCTGCGTGTGTCCTCGCGAGAGAGAACAAATCTCAACCTAAGAGCATATTTTTAAATGCTGGCTTTCTGAACAGTGTATTCAAATTAAGAGACATTCCAATAAGTTTTGTTCATTAAAAAAAAAAAAAGTTGTATGGCTGTTTGGCACTTTATGCTGATTATTGGTAATTGACATTTATCACTGGATTGTGTGTGTTTTTTTAAGTATTAAAATAAATCGTTATTTTACAGGCAAGTCTGCATGGACTACACGTGTTCATTTGATTTCTGGTATTTTCTCTAGTAAACCTGTCCGTCAATTTTCAGAAACTTTTTTTTTTTCTGAATTTACTTGAATTTAGGAATTTAGTTGGTGTATTTTCAGTACCTTTTTTTTTTTAGCCGGTCCTACAAAATCTGTTTCTTTCCTATATTTATAAGCTCTTTTTCTTTTCCTTTTTCTTAAGGCCGACAAAAAGTAAACAGATCTGTAGGGAGTCAAATAATTTTGTTGCTAGTGTGGAAAAAAATCGTCTTGGGTAACTAAATCTTGGGTATTAGCAGCTAAGATTAGGTGTCAGAAGTGTTATAAAACAAATCAGATGACTAATGGGCGAAATGTTACTGTTCTCACAGCCTGAAGGCACTGCAGGGAGAGCCGCCTTCGCACCCCCTCCTCTCCGCTTGTCAGGAGTGTGTATTTATCAATCGCATCTTCACCCGGTTCAGCGCTGATTTGGGCGGCCTTTGATTCCCGGCAGCTGTCTTAGATCAGAGATGTTTATTCCACTGCGAAACCGCCTTGGATCGAGATGGGGGAGAGAGCTTGGAGCGGGGGGATCCGCCTGAGGCTTTGAAGCTCCTTTTGCTTTCCTTTCTAGTCGCCTCGGCAAACCCCAAACCATCTTCCCCCGTGACAAGTCAGTGCTCCGCCGGGAAAGCCTCCTGCAGACTAGCTCTGTGACACATCCAAAGTGGCAGCGGACCCAGCACCGTGGCACTTGCGTTTCCAAAATGCGGATGTTTGGCTCCTCAAGGAGATCGGTCCAAAGCGGTTCCTTTCCCCCTTCCCCTCTTTGCTTTTAGGAAATACTCCTTTATTTGGTCAAGGAATCATGTGAGTGGCAGGAGAAAGAGTGCTGCAGTTGTTAAAGTAGGGATGGGGGCGGGAGGGGGAAGAAACCTCTCCCCCCATATTTATTGGACACCAATTCGAGCGCATCGTAGATAAGGCACTTGGTGAGGGGGTCGCAGACCCGACCTTCACTGTAGGAAAGCCCTTGGAGAGCGCAGCGTGCTAAGATGATAGTTGTCTGCACCCAACTTCGGAGGTTGTCGAAAGCAACGGAATTTGAAGGTGTCTTGGTTGTATTTTGCTTCCCCATCCCCCTGGTCTCCTTCTCTTCGGGAGAGAGGCTTTTGGTTGTGTCTTAAAAGACATCTGAGAACTATCTCGGAATAAGATAAGAGAGGGGGGAAATTACTCAAGCCTGTAGGAAGTCTGTGCTGTACCCTCGCACTTTGAAAGCCCTCTGTAGAAAGGAGAAACACTTCGTCGCACAGGCGTCGCTTTGGGGAACCAAATCAGGCTGCATTTGCCCCGGAGGCTTCTCCGAGGGTGGTCGCAGGGTATTTTGCTCTACCTCAGAGGGTCCCTCCTCGCTCCGTCTTGGCTGCCTCGCCTTGCGCGAACCCAGTGGGCGGCCCCTGCACCCCCGCACAGGCCATGGCCCGAGCGTGTTTGCTCGGAAAAGGCCGCGCAGAAAATCCCAGGGAATCCTCTCCTCTCCTGCAAATTCCCCGCGTTGTTCGTGGCAAAGTAAGCCGACAAGGATGCTCTCGGTGTCCTTTTGCAAAGAGGGGAGGCGAAGGGCTTTGTCGCTTGGAGCCAGTCGCGGCTATGAGGTGGATCCGAAGCGGGGAGAGAGGAAACAGGTAGGGAGGGTCGTGTAACTGAGGAGTTCCCACAGCCCCTTCAGCATCGCCTTATCACCGTGATAACGGAACACCCGTGGTGAGGTAAGAAATTGTGCTGGGCACCGGTGCCTGGGAAGCATTATAACTCCGTGGGCATGAAAGTGGAGAAACCTCTCCCAGATGGGCATGAAATGTGTTTCATTTATATGGCTGAAGCCTGGTGATGTGCCTGCCAAGAATTTCCTTGGACATATATCTTTACACGGAAACAAACAAACAAAAATACAGAATTGACACAGTCAGAATTACAGATGTATTAAAACTATGTGACTGTGTGGGAATACCGAGCACGGAAGGCACACACAGCGTCTTAATGCCATTTATACTATATGCATATGTTTGTGTATATGTGTGTGCATTTCCTCTCCCAAGAAGACTACTTTATTCTCCATGCAAACAAAGAGTCTCTCTCTGATGGTGCTGTCAGCTGCAGTGGTGAAGAGTCTGCCCGTTTTTTCTCTCTCTCTCTCTTTTTATATTATTTTATTTTGTTTTGCTAGGTAGTGTCAGTGTGCTGATTCCAAGGAAAGTGAAGAAGAGATGAAACTATGACAGCCAGAGGATATTAACTCCAAAATAAGGGAAGGGAAATAGATGGGAAATCTGACTTTTGAATCAGGTTTACAAATAATTTAAGTGATTAATTCCCTCCCCTTTCTTTCTTTTTCGTTTCTCATCTCTCTATGCCTGTGTTTCAATCTGACATTCACGCAGTGAGTAAAATGTATTTAGGCCCCTGTCTGCCAATTGAGAATTGATTCTGTTTTCACAGTTGCTTTAAATTTTTCATTTTCATCATAAAAATATCACTGGATGAGAGTTTGCAGGAGTAAAAACCAGGGCACCTGACTTCATTTCAATTGTCTATTTCTAAAAACATTTACAGGGGAGGAAAGTTTTTTTTTATTATTATTTTTTTAAACCATTTCCAGTTGCAGGAGAAAATGTAAAGACATCTTTTCATCTCTCCTTCTTGCTCTTTCTCTCTCTCTCTCTCTCTCTCTTTTTTTTTTTTCTCCACATTGCATTCCAGTCGTACTTTTTCTGCTCATAAACTGTTAATACTCTACAAGAGTCTAATTCTGCACAGCCTGCTCAGGCTGATTTTCTGTTAGATGCAGGAAGAAATGCTGTCAGATGGGGTCTTCTGTGAACATTCAGGGAGCAGAGCAAAAGCCTCCCTCTGATTCTGTATTGGAATGGCAAATGGTTACTTCTTAACTGTGGATTACATGTGCCCCTGAAGAAGGGATCACAGATCATTTGTTTTTTAAAAGGTCGCATGAAGGGTATATTAATGCTCATTTCCCTGGGGATCAAATAATCCCAGCTTCCCACCACTGCTATAGACGGCGCTGAATGTCTTTGTGGGCAGAGAGAAGTGAGATGGGGAAAGAAGGGGGAAATTATGAAGATATATCACAGGAATACATGGCCTACCTGGCCACAAGTCATATGTGTTTGAGTTTCAGTACTTCCTCTACATCTGCTACCTTGTGAAGCAAATCACATCAGCTCCAGGTTTTGGTTTATTCCTCTGTAAAATGGGAATTATGATGCTGCTTTTCCTCCCGAAAGGACTGAACTACTCATGCGCATAAACCATTGTGTTATATTATTGCTGCTGGATGCAATGAGTCCTGTTCAGTTCTACTGTATTGAAATATCCATACAGATTCATACCTGGACAGCTGAGGCTGAGGCTTGGAGGTCTGGCAGAGTGTATAAGACAAGTTTGTGTTCATGTATAATTCTTTTTCATCTCTTACAAATCTGTTGAGAGATGGAGTCCTACAGCCCA